GGGGACGCCGAGCGCAAGCCGAGAGCTACCGCACCTCGGGTGAGTTGCGGGGACCTGCGCCTGGAGCCTCGCCGTTGCTTCCCCGGCCCAGGCACGGGAGGACTTACGGCACCGCGCCGCTCCTGCTTCCCGGGTGGACGCTCTGCGCATCACTGGGAGAGGAATGTCCCTCCTACGGCCTCAGTGGCTGGGGTTCTCTACTACTTAAGAGATCTTCGGGTGGGTGGGCAGCCTGGGCTGAAAGCGGAGGACGCCTGAGGCTGAGCGCTCCAGCTGGGGGGTTGTCCTGGGATTGAGGCCCTAGGGGTGGGGTAGCGGGGATGAAACCTGGTGACCTGGGTTGGACTTATACTCTAACCCAGACACTCGCACCCCCTTTCCGGGGGAGATGCTGTTAAACATTATAAAACAGATGATGTTATAAAAATAGTGTATGTAGCTTTCCTGCGTGGCACACCGAGGTGGGCGTAGTCAGACACACACGCTTGTGTATTCGTTGGGGCGGACTTTGCGTCCCCTCTCCTGGCCCTCGGGCGTTGGGGACCGTGACCCCGCGCGCGCCGGGCACTGGGATTAAGCCTGAGAGTTTTTCAGGGCTGTTTGTTCTCGGAGACTGTGGCGTTCTGGTTCGTTTCTCAGTGACCAGCCTGGATGGCTCAAAATTCCTTGTAAATTACCTGGGACCGCCCTCCGGAATTTGTTGGCTCAGTGAAGTGCCTTTTCTCACCTGGGCAGGTGACTTCGGGAGGTAGCAGCAGGGCCCGCCCCTCCCGGCATTCCGAAGGCGACCTCGAGGACCCCGCCTGCAGAATAAGGTCCAGCTGGGAGGAAACTTGCTTGCTTCTCCCCTCCTTGTGCAAATGACTGGGTAAGTGGGGCGAGGGTGTTGCTTAAACCCCAGGGATAAACCCACTCAGATCAGAATTGCAAAGGACAGGTGAAAGTGTTTGGATCTCAGAATTGCTGATTGCTTCAGGTCAGATTATTTCACTTGTGCTTTTCTGGTTTTCTTTAAGCTGCTTTACTTGTAAAATGATTAATTCACATATACATTATTTACTCATTTTTTGGACAGCCTCTAAGACTGGAGTTTCTTTGTGGTATCTCTAGACTAGAATTATTGAGAACTGCAGGTGAGGACCAGCCTGGCTTCTATGAGAATCACAAGAACCGGGAACCTGTGGTTTAGAAACTATTTAAGAGACATAAGGCGACAATACAATGTGTAAACCTTGGTTGGATCCTGATTTGATGAAAAAAGTTTTAAAAAATTGTGCTGATAGAGGATATCTACTGGTTATTTGATAGTATTAAGAATATTAGTTTTGTTTAGTTACTTTTGGTAATTTTTTTTTAGCCTTTATCTTTTAGAAATACATACTAAATTTGAAATATAGGTTGGGGATTTGCTTCAAAATAATCCAGTTTTGGGGAGGGCTGCTAGTGGAGAAGTCAGAGGGGACAAGCTGAAGGGAGATTGGCCGTGAGTTGTTCCTGATTGAAGCTGGTTGAAGGAAGGGTAGGGGGTATGGACTGCCTTGTACTATTGACTCGACTTTTGTATGTTTGGCATTTTCCTTTAAAAGTAACACCACCACCTTTTTGCAGAAGATAGATTTGGAAGGTCACACAAGTGAGTCTAGATTCAAAGCCTGCCACAGACCCTCACTCTTTGTTAATTAGGCGTAAAGACCGCTTCTCTAGTCTCGTAACAAGTCTTCTTTTCCTCCTTCCTTGGGGGATGCCGCTTTATTTTGTTCCAAAGGCATAGAGTGTTTGCTGAGTGTGACAGAGCTGAGAGGATCAAGTTGATGCAGGTGGATGCTGGGTCAGCTTTTTTGTTTTCATCAAAGGGTATTAGCAAGCCTGGAGATTGAGTTATCTCCAAACAGATAGGTTGTGTAAAATGTGTTAGCAGTTTTTCTGAACTGCCCCAATCCTTTCCAAGTTATGCTCATCAAAAACCAGAGCTCAGAGAAATGAACGCTCCCATACACACTTAGGAAGTGGAAGCACTGTATACATCAATAAAAAGTCTATGTTATGAAAACAAATCGCAAGGTGAATGGAGATCTACTTATTACCTGAAAGAGATCTTATCTGTGTGTGGCCTTTTTCATATCCTTACCTTGTTTGCTTCGGGCATGGTGACACGTAAATATTTAGCAAAGAACTGACTCCTAAAATTTCTGCACATTCTTTTTCAAGAACCCTGCTCTCAAGAGGAGAGATGTGGGAAGTAATATCTATATGTTTATCCAACTTGCTTATTTCCCCTGCTCTGGATTTATCATGTAATTCCTACTCATTCTGTTGTGCCTGATTAGTAATTTGGAAAAGTGATGATCATATGAGGGAGCTATTAAAGTTCAACAGAGGGAGGAAGGGAAGGCATAGTCCTGAATGATAAACCCACATTTCTTTGTAACTTCTGTAGAACTGATTTTAATGCCTCTTTGCTTTTAAGAGAAAACAAGCCAAGTAAATTGTATCTGTGAGAGCTGAAAGTTGAAGTGTTAGCTGAAACCCCTCAGCCTAGACCTTGCCCGTGTAGGTTTGCTAGAATAAAAGTTGTAAAGATGCTTTAAGTCAGATTCCATTGAGGAGCTACCAGAGCACATTTCGGTTTCCTCGCCGTGCGTGGGGAAATGAGAGAACCAACAACAATCCCCTTACAGTTGGAAGATTTCACAGTAAATTCATGTTGGCACTTAAGGGAAATTGTTCTGCTTGTGGCTTAGTTTTCTCCATGTGAATAAAAGAAATAAGCCACTGTTCAGTGACTTCATTTTCTACCTCAGTTCTCTGAAACAAGAGCATGGAGAGAGAAAAGAAACTTGCCAGGCCCTTAAGTGACCAGGCAGTGACCTTCTGTTTGCTCTCCTCTGTGAGAGGATGGTGGAATTGGACTCTAGAGAGCCGACTGCTAATAGCCATTTTAAGGAATTACCACAAATGTGACACCACCTTCCCACATCATGTTATGAAAGGGTATAAACACATTAGAAAAGCAAATTACAGGCAGCTTTGCTAGCCTGGAAGTGAGAGGAAAGGGTGTTGGCAGTCCAGTCAATACTCCGCTCCTCATTTGTTAGCACTCTGCTCTCATCTCCATCACTTCGTCCCATCCTGTGCAGTGGAGCCGCAGTGCTGGAGGCTTATTTTAGTTTTTAACAGATGAGAACATTGAAATCTAAAGGTAAGCCTTCTCAGGTTGTTTCTTTAGAGACATGGGGGAAGGAAATGTCACATTCTTGAAGAGTGCAAGTAGCCTTCACATACATGTTTTTAATTCTCACAAAGTTCTCTAAGTGAAGTGTTATCAGCCCATTTTGCAGGTGAAATTGTTAACTTAAGAGAGGTTAGTAGTTCACTTGAGGTCTGGCAGCTGGTAAAAGCAGAGCCAGGATTCAGATTCAGGATCTGTTGGATCTTAGTGTTTACATTCATTCCAGCCTCTGTGCTGTTCCAAACTCTAGCAGACGGCAGGGCTACCGTCCCCAGGCGTTGGTTAGTTCATCTAGGCAACCTATCTTTCTGCCACACTCAACTGCGCGGGTTATAGACGGGGGGGCCTGCACCACATCCAACCAACAGGTCGGCACAGAGTTTACAAACAAAACCAAACTGACCCAACATTAAAAACTGGGAGATTTCAAATATTCTGCCCTGAAGAATTCCCGAAAACAAGTACCAGAGCAGCCTTGTCTCCAGGGAAGGATAGTGTCTTCCTGTTCCCCCTGGTCTCCACCACTCCCAACCGTGTCCCCCATCCTTGAGGCAGGGGACCATCGCACTTGCATTGTTGTTTTTAGCAGTAAGAGGTCTTTCTCTGTGTGTATCTCCCAAAAATGGGATAACAAAAGAGAGGTTGAGGGCTCTTGTCCCAAGAAAAATGGGAAAGAGCATATTCCTCAGAGAGAATGAAGATGCTTGTGTTTACTCTGCAGAGCTTCTATGACAGAAAATACAAGGTATGTCATTTTTCTCGCACCCTGTCTGCTTTTCTCATTTATGTAGAAGTTAGAGTTTACTGCCCCGGCAGTACCACAAAAATGGAGTGCTTGTGTGGGCACCCGCAGCAGAGAAAGGGAGTGCCGCGCAGATCCCAACGCTGGCTCTTTGTGAGTGGGACCGTGGTCTTGTGCCCCCTGGGGGTTCCCAGAGTGTCCTGTGGGGATGGGGCACCAAGGAGCCCTTTCTCTTTAAGCAGCCTGACCCTGGGGTCCAGATGGCTCCTGAGCTTGTGGGCTGGCTCTCTGTAGGTGCTCTGAGGGGAACCCAGAAGGCACTACCCTCTCGCTCCTCTGCCCGCCCCTCCCGCTAGTGACACCTCTGTCCTACATGCAGCTGAGGCCGGGCCCTGTGGGAAAGCCCTGCAGGCGTGAGGAGCGGGTGTGCCCTCGTCCAGCCTTTGAGAGGCTTCTGTTGTACAAGTCCAAGGGCGGCCTCGTTTCCTCACCTTGAAACTTGCCTAAGGGCTGTGGGACAGATGCTGCCACCTCTGCCCATAATCTGGAGTTTTGTTACAGTGGAAGCGTCTGTTTAGATCTTTGTTTCCTTTCCCTGAATTTCGAGTGTTCACAGCAGTTGGGGGGGGGTGGAGGACAGGAAGAGGAAATACGGATGGAGCCTCGTAGAGTGGCTTTGCGGAGATGTCAGGTGCTGTTTTGAGGGCTCTGTCACTAGAACTGCCCGTGCAGGTGTGCGTGCACCCCCGCGTGAGAAGGGAAATGGGCCAAGGGCGGGCCTGCAGGTGGACTGCCTTATGGGGTTGAAAGTCCATTTTGAGGCTGAGGTGTTTGGTAACCGCCAGGCCAGCGGGTTGATTGGATCCTTTTAGGAGCGCCCTGGGATTCAGGTGTGCAGGTGGTGATCCTCAGGGAGGTGATTACTATCTCCGTGTCAAACGGGCAGCCGGCCAGGAAAGGGGGTTGATTACAGGCAGAGCAAAGGTGGGGCTCAGCGCCCCCAGTGTGGCCGCTGATTTCTGTCTGGTTCTCCCACCACCTGGCTGCTGTGTGACCTTGGCCAAGTTTTTTTTAAACCAGTCTGCGCGTCATTTTTCTCCCGTGTAAAGTGGAAGTGCTAATGATCCCCATCTGCTAGGGCGGTGAGGAGTCGATGGCACGTGGGATGCCCGGCGTGGAATAAGGCTTCACCGCAGGCTAGCAATTGCTCATGTTGAGCCCCGCCTCCTTCACTTTTGCCTTTACTTGGGAGGGCTTCCCCAGGATTTAGAATGCAGGCTGCAGGGGAGAAATGCCTTCCGGCTCTGACCTCTGTTTTCAGAGGGAGCCGGGGCTGCCTCGTGGCCTTAGGGAAATGTTCTCCGTGACAGAAGTCAGCAGAGGATTTGGTGGAGCCGCAGCTTTGAAACTGATGCAGAGAATGGGGCCCGAGCCCGAGGCTTTGGCTCTGTTGTTTGGGGATTAAATCCTCTCTGACTCTGGAAAGGAGCTGGATCCCCGGCTCCCCCCCCCCCGCGTGGGCGCGGCCTCCCCTCCGGGAGGAGGAGCCGGAACGGTGGGGCGGCCTCTGCCTCGCGGGCGGGGCTCTCGGCCACCTGCGCCCTCGGAGCATCTGGTACCTCTTGGATCAGCTGGGGATGCGCACTCCCGGTAGGAACGTCGCGAGGGGCTGACAGGAGTGTTGTGAAATCCTGACCCAGGCCCAACAGAGAACTACGTCTGGCTTGCCCTTCAGTGGTGAAATCATAGACCAGGTACACCGCAGGTTTACTTTTAACTTGGACAGGTAATACAGATGCTGTTAACTCGTATTTACGAAGCACTTTTGGAGTCTTAAAAGGGCTATCTAATTTGATCTTTAACCGGTGGTATGGGGTTGTTGGCATTTGTTTTGACT